GGTATGTGTCAAAAAACGTGTAACTTATTCAAAGTGATAAATAGGTTTTAAACAACTCTTTTCACAAATATATTGGAAACAGCTGTGTCTTAAAGAAATTTTCCAATAGGTGTATAATTGAGATAAGAGGCATTTGTCAATAATTTGTTAATGAGTTTAGATTTCACTTTCAAACTACTGACATTTATTCTACTATGTTGATTTATTTTTACCATTGGAAATTTTCTACAGAAAAGTAAAGCAATATTTCTTACTGAACACCATAAAAGTAAATCACATAGGATGATGTATATATTTTGGTGCCATGCAGGTTTATATTTATTTAAAGGATAATCTCTATCATTTGCAAATGTTTTAATATTTTGCTGAAAAGAAACAAAAGTGAAGAATGAATAGTATGAAAAACAAAACAATTCTAAATACAAACAAGTAAATCTAGAAGGTAATAAAAGGGACTGAGTCACATTTAGCAAAAACAAAGAAAGAATCCTAAATAAAGCTTTTTAATACGATAATATGATGAAAACGAATCATAAAGAAACCATTTTCTCAAGTCTGTGCTAGAATTATTTCATAACTTATGTGATTTTTCCTACTCTAAGCAGTTCATTTTTCAAATGCTCCTATAAAATATATCAGGAAGGAGGACATAAGAAAGTGATACAAACTGCATTAGCCAAAGCAAGATTTCATCTCTTACAAAGAAAAAAAAAAAAAGGAAAGAAAGAAAAGAAAAAGAAAGTCCTTAGATTTCTTATGAATAATCTTTTTTATGAAGAAACTTCATTTTAAAGTAATACATTTTCTGTTATCCTGTTTACTTCCAATGACCAATATTCAAAAGATCAAAAGAAACAAAAAGATAAAAAGAGTTTCTATGTATAGTCCTTTGTGTTTTAGATTATTTTACACACTTTATAGGTACATGCATAGGTAGGTAGATTTTTCTTTAAACATTTAGTGCTCCCTCTCTCTTCTTTTTAAAGAAATTTTACATCACCAAATGACAGCATTCATTTCTCATTAGGCAAAAAGCATGTTCTTATTTTGCCAACGTGGGCGCATTCTTCTTTAAGAAGCCTCCAATTTAAAAAACAGAACAGAGAGTGAGTATTTACTTTATAAAGATTGATCAGAATGTAAGAAAAAAAGTGTCAAATGATCACCTTAATGTGTTAACTCCTTCTAGTAAACTGTGTTTATTTTACAAAATTTGGTAACATGTTGAGGTAATAGAAACTCAATGACTATATTCAGCAAAGAATCCCAGTATAATTATACTTGTTCTTGATTATTCATTTTAAAACAGATAAAATGTACTTGCAATCACCTTGTTGCAATGCAATTTTACTTTTGATTTTGGATTTTATATAATTACAGGCTAAGACCAAAAAGTATAAAACATAATTAATATTGTTTTCCTTTTTAGCATCTTTGGAATTTGATTTTTAGATACTTGCCTCAACATCAATTCTGAGAAAGTTTAATAAATTTTTAATAAACTTTTACAAATTGTATGGGATAGTAATACCCCATATTAGAATGTATAAGAAAAGTAGTTGTATCTTTCAAATAATATTGATGATATTTTTAAATGAATATCAATCATAAAGAGAATAATCAAAAACATGACTGAAACTCGCCTTTCAACAAGAGTAAGATGAAAATGCATCTAATGTAAGAAAAGATGGGCACATGTTTCCAAGGTGAAATATCTTTTAAACTAATGAAGTTACTCAAATGTTCTCTGACAATTAATGTAGTAAAATATACAGGGATTTTTATAGATCTTTTCTTTTTCTTCTTTTTTTTTTTTTTTTTTTAAGATAGGGTCTCCCTCTGTCACCCAGGCTGGACTACAGTGGCACGACCACAGCTCACTACAAACTCGACCTTCCAGACTCAGTCCAATAGCTGGGACGACAGGTGCATGCCACCACACTCAACTAATATTAGTAATTTTTGTAGAGATGAGCTTTCGTCATGTTTCCCAGGCTGGTCTCAAATTCCTAGGCTCAAGCAATCCACCCAACTCAGCCTTCCAAAGTGTTGGTATTACAGGCTTAAGCCACTATGCCCAGCAATAAATCTCTCATTCTACCATTGTAACTTGTCATTCCATTTTTGAAAATTGTTTATTTTATTAATTTTTAAAAATATGTGAAGATTCTCTATAACATTTTATTCATAGTGGTCATTAATTGCCAGAACAATTACTAAAATATTTGTACTAAAATATTTGAAAATATCTTATATTTGAGCATGAAATGACTTGGCAGACATTTTATTCAATGTCTTCTATAATTACAGCACCAATTTCCGAGGTGCTTAAAATGATTGTATCTTAAAAATTCACAAGTTTGTATGTTTTATTATCTGACAAGTATTAATTCCATATTAAGCTACTTTTGTAATGTGAATTTATAAGGAGCATTTAAAGCAATCATACAGAAAATATTTAATCTATTTAAAAATTACAGGTGTTGTACTATAATATTTTCATATGCCTAAAACATTTAGAAAAGACATCCACAAATATATAAACAACTGTGAATAATTAAATATTAATCAGTATATATTAACAATGATAGTTTCCTTAATAAACAAAACAAGAGTCAATAGTTATTACTAACTTCTACTAGTTCAACTAAAAGGATTATTTCCCTTCAAATCAACCAATTTTATTGAGGAATAGTCCTTTTTTATATTAATGTCAACTAATAATTATACCTTTCACTTATTTATCACTTCACAAGGTTTACAGAGTGCTTTCCATGCATAATAAATATTGTTCAGACAGTTATATCTTGGTATAGATAACAAAGACAAGTTAAACATTTAAAAACACATAAGCTATAGCAAACTCATCTACAAAATGTTGCAGATTCAAAAAGATTTTAAATATCAGATGTCTCTATTGCATCTTACAATGATTCTACATAAACTCTATAAAATTTAATTTCACTTAAATTTCCAAGAACTTAGCGTATTTTTCTCAAATAGACACAATCACATGTGTTTCACTGGAATCGGTTTCAAAAACAGGAAATTGAATATGGTATTATTTTAGGGGAAAGCCCAGTGGACTTGTAACATTCCAAGCTATCACGGGATAATCTCATGACCTAGAGACCAACATTATTATACTGCTTGCCACCTGGGCTGAGATATGTGGAATTACATGGAGAAAGTCCAAACCTTCAACTATCTCTTATTATTAAACTTGCTGAGACCACAGGCTAAAATGTCTAAATAAAGAATTAATGAGGACTAGTTATTAATTGCTCATCATTAGATAGTCTCCAAGACTCAATCCTTGGTCTTCAGCTTGGGAGACTAGAACCTTCAGTCAGGGCAGCTGAGATCTAGGGAGTACCAGCATGGAGTGAACACCTGCGTCTCCTGAAAGAAACCCTGGATCTCACTTGCCCCTTCCCTGCTACTGTCCAAAGCAGAGGAACCATTTACAGGCGTAGTTACGGAGCACAATCACAAAGCAGCCCACACCTACGTGAGCAAACCTACAAAGACCACACCCCGCCTGCTGAATTTACATCTATTTGCTTTTCAGGACTAGCCAGAGGAACCGGCTTCTCTAGGAAACATTCCTGGATCACCATCCCTTACCTCTGCTTTAGCTGTTACCCCTATATACAACCGTGTGCTTCATCCAGTTAGCGCAGGTAGTGACGTAGTTACGTTTGTATCTTGAACATTACAATGTAAAATTCCTTCAAACACAGATGATAATGATTTTACTTTTATGTTCCCAGGCCCACGCCAAGTGCTAGCATATAGTAAGTGCTCAGTAAATGTTTGTTGAATGATGCTACCACTGCCACATAGGGCACGTTTGCCATGTTAATGATTTGGGGGTGAGGAAAAGACCCAATTGGAAGAGACCAACAGCACGTAATGAAAACGCCATGATACAGTCTCCTTAATGCCAGCATGAATGCAGTTTTTACAGCATCAGAAAATATCTTTCAAACCTGTCACCATGGACTAAATAAAATCTTTGTAGGCCTATGTGGGAAGACAATATATCATTTTTTATAATGATAACACTTAAAACCAAGGAATCTCATGTTTTAACAAAAACTTCAGAAAATGGCCTATAGTTTTCTGAGATTCCATATTCTATATGTAAAATGTGTTTAAGGCTTTCAAATAATTATATTATTTATTCTCTTTCTAAATAAAACACAATAGTATACTGTTATAGAGTATTTAAAAATCATACTCTTTATTTTTAACAGAATAATTGATACCACTGACTTAAAAACTCACTGTTTTATATGTGGATCACTCTGAAATAACATTTCATTTTCTTCCTTCAGAAAAATGATGTTCCAAAGAGAAGTTCAGTTTAAAAATACATATGAAGAGATTTCTGATGATGCAAAAACATACACATACTACATTAAAAATATAAAAAGATATCTTACATATACAAGATTAATAAGGTTTTCATGAAAGTAACAGACCTGAAGAAACTTTGAAATCTCTGCCAAAGTTCCTGTCATTTATGGAAAACATAAAATACTAATTTACTATCTGTCCCTTTCAACTTTTTCTATTTTTCTAAAGCATCCTCAAAATAACAGGGGGACATTTTGGGGTGAGAGCTGAAATATGTACTTTGGGTATATTTTATAGACAATAGATGTAAACAAGGCAATTATTATCAGAGATTAAAGCAGACAGACTTGAATTTTGATCACAGGTGCACACAGAATAAAGCTTCATTACGTAGTCAGAAGGCAAAGTGCAGCACACACAAAGCACAAAATACAGTCTAATAAATATTCACATGCTTAGGGTGTTTCAATTTAGTTCTTACATGCAACTTTATGAGAGTCTAATGTAAATAAAATGTGTACTAAACGGTTTCTTTTCCCTAAGACAAGGCTATTCAAAACTTCTAAAATCTGTTAATCACTACATATTTTTTACAATGCCAGAGAAGAAAATGAGAAATTATTAATTTTTAAAATTACCCAGCAATTCCATTGCATCATCTTCATTATCAATATCTTCTTCTGTTACAGATGGGGTAGGGCTGTGGATGGACTCAAAAGAATCTTGAGAGAGCATTGCGGCCAGGAGTTTCTTATGTTGCTGTTGCTGCTGTTTTAACCCTTTGTTCTTAGGCTCCATCTTTAAGCTGAAGAAATATTTAAATGTTAATTAGCTGTGATAAGTAAAGAAAATCTACAAACAAATTTCCTTTTGGTTATTTTATTACACACATTTGTGGACATGTTACTAAAGTTTTCTCCAAGGATAATGGAAATATCATCTTTCTTGGACACCCATGTGTCTCGCAAAGGAATTCCCAAGTGAGTATGGGGAAACTGAAATTTGGCTCACTTAAGAGGGCAGGTGCTAATTTACTCCTACCTACTGTTGCCATGTGGAAATTAAAGTCTACTCGATGAGTCTTCTGATTTTTAAAGAAGAGCTAGAAAGTCCAGATTATGAGTTCCTGATTTACAAAGCAAATGCATGTTAAGGAAAACACTTTCAATGAAATAAATACTTTAAACTATTATATTAAGATGTTTTAAAATACTCAACTTTAAATTCTTTTGCATATGTGTATATAGTTGTCTCAACACCATTTGTTAAAAAAACTATTCTCTCCCTCATTGAATTGTCTTGCTTTTATTTACAGCGCTTTTGAGTCTATTTCTTTGTATAGTTTTATTAGTGACTGCTCTTCCTGTTACAATGTGTATGTGTATTGTACCACATTCAGTAGACTGTTGTATTAGTGTCAACATTTACCACTTGGGGTGAAGTATAGATACCTTACTTCCATTTTGGACCCTTTAGTTTCCCTACTTTTAAATATTATTGAGTATCAGATGGTGTTATAATTTTTGTTTCAATAGTTAAATATCATTTCTAAAACTCGTGAGGATAGTCCATTGTATATAGCAGTATTTCTGCTGTTTCTGTTTTCCTTTCTTCCTTCCTGATGTTTTGAGGTAGATACTTTCTTGCCACCGAGGTAGATTCACTGTTGCCACTCAGCTCTCCTAGCACCTTTAGTGGGGAAAGGGAGGCTCAAGTCTGGCAGGGAAGGAAAGCATATCCCCTAACCGTTTATTGTCAGCGAGAATCGTCAATTCCCCTGGCCTATGTCTTTGGCTTCTCCTGGTGGTGTTGGGGTGGCTACTGTTCAATCAGGGGAAGAAATAACCTACATGGGCCACCTTCTCTTGTTACTTTGGGAGCAAGGAAATGCCCCTAATTCTGTCGAGTGGGGAATTGCAAGGAGCCCTGCTGCTAAGCTGTTCCTCTACCCCTCAGGTTCCTAACCATTCCACCTTCCTCTTGACCCTTGTCACAGTTCTCTTTTGGTGCCTCTTGTTTATTTCAGGGTTTATATGGGTATGTAGTGAGGGACAGCAGAAAGTAATTAGTCTGCGCCATCTTGTCCAAACAGAAGTGACACGACTTGTTAATTAGAAAGGGAAACTGATATCTTTACACTGGAAAAATCTGGTGGACATCACCTGCACCAAGTGATCAAACTTAGCATCACCAATAATACTGGACAAATTGACATTATGTACTTCCTAATATGATATAATAAGAAAGTACATCCCATCAACTATGTAGAATTTTTTTTTCCAAAAATGTCTAATCTGAATTTAATCAGAGAACAATCAGACAAATGCAGATTTGAGGAATTTTTTCAAGATAACTGGCCCATAGTCTTGAAGAAGGTAAATGTCAGAAAAAGGAAACAAAAGGCAGAGGACTGTTGTAGATTATAGAAGACTAAAAAGACTTGACAACTGGATTCCACACATGATCCTTTATTAGGTGCTAGATAAAAAAGAAATAAACAACTATACAAAAATCCATAAAGGACTTTACTGGAAAAATTGAAGAAATCTGAAAATGGACTTTATATTAGATAACTTTATGGTGGGATTGGTTTGATATGATGATTATATTATGGGTACATAAGAAAATAGCTTTATTCCTAAGAAATACATGCTGAAGAATAACGATTAACATTTTATAATTTATTTTTAGATGGTCCAGCAAAAAATATAATATGATATACGATAGATATATAGATAATAGGTCATAGACAAAATAAAGATGGTAAAATGTTGATCGGTGAATATAGGTGGAGGGTATGTGGATCTTGATATTACTACTTTTAAATGTTCTGTGGTTTGAAACTTTTAAAAGTAAAAAGGTGAGGGAAAAATTAAGAACAAATACATGAAAGCAACACATGTTAGCAATATTTATTTTAATTTTATCTTCCTTCCCAACTTAGGTTCCCAACAGAAATGGGATTGTTGCTAAGAGGTTGTAAAAATGCATCCTTTTTAAAGTAATTTTTTAATTTGACTAACCCTTGATATCATTCCAAATAATTAAAGCAAATTATGTTTACTCTTTAATAGTGGAGATAAAACATAAATATTCACTTGAAAATGGAAGGAAGTTTATTTAGCTCCAGTCTCTTGCCATGACATCTGTCCTCTGCATCATTGCATTATGTGTCTTCTAAACTGAGAACAATGTAACAATGTTAAAGTCTTCCTTGACCAACTTTATTCATTAAGAAGTAAACAAAACCAATGAAAACAAAATTTTAATTTGGATTTCTTAGCTGATAGATCTAACATGTTAAGCTGAATTAACACCTAAATTATTTTATCTTAATTAAATTCATTTAAAATACAATATTCATGTATTATTTTAGCCCCATTCGCTTTTGATTACTAGAAGGGATATAGATATTGTTTTGAATGACAATTGAACATAGTCCATTTACAAGATGAATAATTTGGGGCAAGTTAATTTTCCTTTCTTTTCCTCAGTTTCGTTATCCATAATGCAGATTACTGTAGTACTTCCAATGTATTTAATAATACAGTGGTTGGACTATTAAAAAGGGTTAATAAATGCACAACAGTCCCTGGCAAATAGCTCTATTTATGTCTGTTTAATAAATCAATTAAATTTTCCTTCATAACTTTAAATTTTATATTGTAAACTTAACAAAAGTTAATAGAATATTATACTTTATATATATTTTATGTTTTCATGTAAAAAGACAGTTATGGCTTTAAGGCAATTTTCTCCCTTAGGAGTTAAATAATAATTCACAAAGTGTAACAGTCTGAAGCAGATGTTATATGTACATTCTGACAACTGCTTCTGCTTGCTATGTACCTAAATATATATATAGGATGGTTAGATATTAAATATTTTGTGCAAAATTAATATACGCTGTATCTTGAAATGTTATTTTATATGAATAAGCATAAATCGAATGTCTATTTATAAAACATAATATAATGATTTCTAAAAGGCCAACATATCACCAAAACATGCCTACTTACAGAAAAAGAGTATATCTATCCAAATATAAACTTAGAATTTTATTCCAGGTCCATAACTGTTTTTCTAGAATCCTTGGGGCTGGATGTGTCCTGTTGCATAAACTCTATATTATATAATACCTTCCAGAGGGTCTGTGGCCTCACCCTCTTATGAAATACATCAGTATTTCTCCATTATTATGTATCAGCATTCCCACTGAGTGGGATAAATAATCTGCAGGGTTCAGATCAGGTTTCGCTATAATGAATTATGAAAACAACTTTGGTTTTCAGAGCATTTTGAATTTCACTATTACAGATAAGGATTGTGAGGAAAATATTTGAATAAATAACTGAGAGACGAAATCTCAAACACTGCTGTTAGTTCAAGTAAGATGGGGGCTGAGACTTGAAGTTGGAATTTCAGAAGGCAGAGGTCATTTGAATGACACTGGGTACCTTGGACAAGAGGTCATCCTGTGACATGGACAAGGTTGCTTTCAATAGGTGGTGGGAATAACATTCTATTTGGAAAAGATTGCAAAATGAGGGGTCAGTGCACACAAGTAAACTACTGTGAGGAGTTTCTCTGTAAAGTGAATGAAAGACAGGGAACAATAATAGCTGGGGCCAGGGAGGCTTCATTTTTCCGAGAGATGTTCCATCATACCTTCATGCTGAGGGGAATGATCTAGGAGAAAGGAATGGTGCAGGGAATGAAGAGAAGTGATGAACTTACATGGGTGAGTTAGAGCAAGGATCTAGCACGGAGTGGAGGAGGTTGCCCTAGGCGGAGCATGAGTGACTCACCCATAGCCATAGGGAAGAGCAGAAAACCTGAGCACAGATGAGCCAGGTGCACAGAGAGTCTGCTGGAGAAGCTTATGGAGGTTTTCTTTATGACTGCAGCTATTTTCTCTTTGAAACAGGAAACAGAGTCATTAGTTAAGAATAAGGATGGGGGGAAAAGTATTGGAGATTGGGGGACAGCAGGAAAAACGTGAAGTCATCATTGAGGAGAGTGAATATGCGAATGGCCTCTGCTGAGGCAGGTGCAGCTGCATCGCCAGGTAGCACTAGTGTGCCCCTGGAGTTTGGTGGTCGTGAATTCAGTGACACTGGCCAGTGTGGCCATGTGTCCTTCTCTAGCCTAGGTTGGTTCAGCCACAGAATAGGGAAACAATTAATTTAAACATGGTAGAGTTTTTCCAGGAGAGTAAAACAGGAAAAGAGGAGCAGAAGAGTTGAGGGCATATCCAAGGGACCAATTACTATGATGGGGCATAGATAAACCTGACTAAGGAGAAAAATTAAGAACAAGGTAGGTGAGAAACAATAAAACATTGGCAGTCTCAGTGTTTCGGGGGTCCCAATTAAAGCTGAGTGTCAGAGGCAATGAACCAGAAAGATGAGAGGTGCTAGTCAGAAAGTGAGGTGCCTAATACTGATATCATGGATTTGCAGATAATGAGAATGAGAAGGTCTAGGATATGACAGAGGGAGTGATGGGGGAGGTAGGGTGGAATTCAAGATACGTGGCAGAGAGTAGGCAAAGGAAGTGAGAGGCCAGGTTTGGGGAAGGATTACCGATGATATTGACGCTGACTTCACCAACGCAGCAAAGCTACTGGGGAGAGTTACAGGAGCTGGATGTTTGAATATTCAGAGAAAGGGGAATGACTGACAGTTAGCAAATTATTGCTAGAAGATGATGTGGGAAATTAACACACTGGGAAATTCAGAACAAGATGCAGAACTGGGGATTGTTTTAGGGAGGAGACAGCAAGATCTGGAAGCAGCAGAGGAT